TGTTAGGAATGTACAAACTGTTGTGTACAGTTGCCTCAATCGCCTTCCTTCCTCCTCCTCCTCCTTCCTCCTTTTTTTCCCTTGTGACGTAGTCGGGATGAGCACAGAGCAAACAGCGAAAGACGTAGTGGTGGTAGTAACTCAATTTCTACAGCCCGTGTCTCAGTAGGGTACACTCGTCTGGAAAGGCTTGTGCCAGTGTTGAAGCACGATTTCTGCCTTAGGGTACGTTGGCCATATTAACAAGTTTGCCTACTGGATGTCGATGGGGATTTTTTCCCATTGTTTCCTTCCCCATCTCTAGTGCAAAATATCAATTTCAAATGAAAGGTATGTGGGTTGTGGTAAGATGATTGGAGAACTCATGCATACGTGACCGCACTAGCCCCGTTTTCGAGGGCATTCTTAGTCTGGAACTCGACTTTAGGATTTATCACCTTCGCTACTGCGTTAACACCATCACAGGCCCCGGATAAAACAGGCAAGCACCAACGCAACACAATCGAAACCTGAACAAATGTATTTTTACGGTTTTGAATGTCAGCACACATGCTGCCTAACAGATTGCATTCCTGTTCAACCCGACTTTTGAACTTTCTGTCAAAGTATTCCTCTCTTGACGTGTCCTCTGGGGTGCCTTAACTTTTTACGAGGTAAACAAATAGGGGGCCTTGAATGTGTGTTTCTCGCGCATGTAATGCTACGAGCAAAATGTTGACAGATTTGAAGTGGCTGTCACCACGCCAATGTGCCTAATTCACCACTGATGTATTTGTGGAAGGCAATCTCGGCTCGTGGATGAGACATTGGAGGTGCCTCCATTGGAGAGCAAACTTGGCCGACCCTGTGGACGTGTTAATTTGCAGACTTTTAGCCAAAGATGAAGGCATTTTTGTGTTGCATGTAGCAGACGTTCAGCTATTTTAAGGCATTTTATTACATCCGCCTTTGTGTAAGCTCTACTCTATTTTTAGTCCACTTAGGTCTGAGTGTTGATTGTTTAAACTGCAGGATAATGGAAAAGAAGTGGCACAATTAGTTTTTGGCAATTTGTTTCTCGTAGTTGAATTAAGATTGCTGGGAAAACTAATGACTTGTGACTTTGAAAGTGCCTTTTTCAACTCACTTTGCCTTTACTTCTGCAATGCTAGGTTATGTTAGTCAACTGTTTAATAATTCCGTTCCGTTGTTTTCATTAATTCAACCGCTCACTAATAATCACATGTTACATGTGTGAAGCCGTCGGCAATTGAGCAAGTTTGGCGCTGTGTACTGTGTCAATAGTACGCCGAGTTGTGTGTGTGTGTGTGTGGGAATGTCTAAACAAATTTTAACCTCATTGAGAGTGTATACAGATTTGACATTCAGGATCTTGGTACCTCCTTCACCATTTGAGCCTCCCATGAATTGGTATGCGGGTGCTACCGCAATGGGCTAAGGAAAGATTCCGAGTCTACAAATAACCGCTCAGAAGGTGACGAAATTGGAGTAGAAAGAGTCGCATTTGTGCAACTTGATGGAGAGGTTCAAATCATTACTGGTGTTAGTGAAGCGTTAGTCGATGAATTCAACAATGTCAGGAAACACAACGCGCAGGCGTTTAAGGGAACAACTGATCCTAACTGTCTACACCACTACATTATGCGCCCTTCCGTTGTGGAAGCGAATAGGAAGAAAGTGCATGCTATTGTTGTTGATTCAAGTGCTGTATCATGTCGGTTAAATCCTCCTCATCACGGAACTGCCGTCCTTGGTCGAGCAAGACTCCCCGTTGATTTCCATTGCCTTCCACGACTGTTGACTTCTCAACAGATTAAGCAGAGAGGCAAAGGTCTACGACTCTGTTTAAGTAATACTACTTTGTCTGCCACGTTGACTGATGCGTTGGCGAGAAAAGTACACAGAAATTTTCGACGTAAATATGCATTTCAGTGGCAAGAGGATGGTTTTTTGCGGGTAAAGGCTTCCGGTGTGAGTGCCATCAATGTCAAGTGCTTCTCGTTCACCCTCTCCATTTAGCAACTTACTCGGTGAGGCGTGTAAAGGGTGGATGTGGCGGTAGTGCAAATTTTTTCATCGTTGTTGCCCATCTTTCCTCTCAAGGAGGGGTTGAGGATGATCTCTCTCGCTTGTACTTATGCTGCATACCACCGAGTACGATGAAACTGTCCAACAAACTGAAGAGTTAGCGGCAGCAACTAAATATGGTCACACGACTAGTAGAAACTGGTGTGGACTTTGATCAGAATTTACTCTGGATAAATAACCTTAGCAGTTTGTATTTTTGTTTGATTACGGGAACCGCCTTTAAGGTGTTGTAACCATGGCAGATCGAACTATTCGAATGGGACTCCAACAACAGTCAAAGTAATGGTAAAAGTCAGGTCCGTCCTCAACGCCTGGTAGAGCCAACTGTATGATTAGCATTTTTTTATGACCAAAGGTCTTTTATGCATCGAAATTGGTGTGCATACGTTTTCCTCGTCTGAGCAACGCTGTACTTTATTACCACCACCACCGCCAACCAGCACCATCGTCAACACCAACAATAAACTAATCTACTTTCATCATCAGAATGAAGAAATTTATATGAAGTAATGCCTTATAGAGAATTGCAC